AAAAAAAAAAAATCAAAAAAGAGATACAAACTCAGCTCTAAGCTGTCGCCGCACACTTTCTGATTCAACAAAAATAATTTCAAGTTCATTTCAAATCAGCACATTGAATATTACCGAGGGGGAATTCGAGTCAAGAGACGGGACATTTGCATATCGCAGGGAACCGAAGGGCAACTGGGCAAGGAGAAGGGGGTTTAGTTATCATCTTCGCTTCCTTACTACTCGCTCCTTCTTCCTTTTGCAACATATTTGTTGCCAAAAGAAAATAAAAGTTTTCAAAACAGGCAGGAAACCGCCAAATCCTATCTATTAACAGAAGAAAACGAAACTTTGAAAGACTACCACATAGCCAGTGCATCTCGAAGACTTGAATTTTACAGGTGCCGGCGCGAGAAAAACTAAAGAGGGCGTCGTGTACGTTGGCGAAGGTGCATGCGCTGCTCCTGGTCAGTCTTCATTTACCTCATTTTCTTAAGTCTGGGGATAATGCGGAAACTGTAGAGTTCGCTTTGCATGATTTATGAATCATTTTATCAAGTGAAAATTCAAAACGATTACCCAGACGGTGTTAGCATTTTTGCTATTGGATAAAAAGTTTTTTTTTTCAGGGTACGCGGTTGAAAAAACGAAGGAGGGAGTCATTGGAGCCAAAGATCTGACATGTACTTTTTGCTTTTTATCAAATGACTTTTTTTGACTCTGATTTCTTTTGGATCACAAGGTGTTAGAAAAAACAGCATCTGTTCCAGTTTCTTCATTTACTAAAATTTACCAAGTCGAATTAGTTTAGTGCTTTATTAATTTCCCGCGTCTGACTTGCAGTCTTAAGTTGTCATAATTAACTTGGTCTGTAATTAACTAAAATTACCGTACAAAATCGACTATCGGCAACCAGTAAGGGTGTGGAGCATTAGCGAGTGGTATTCGCGAGAAAGAATGACTACCCGGATGACCCAGAAGAGGTGGCTCACATACATCGAGCGGGCGGTGGGTACCAAGCTAAGGTAAGCAGTCCGGAAGTGAAGGGTCTGGCCTAAGTGCGCGCAGCGAATCAGCGCATCTTAGTAGCAAAACCAACAAAACGCATATCGGCTATTTGAGTACTTTTGGCAGCATTCTTAGTTTTCGGTTCTTCCGAACAATGCAGTAAGCTTCCTATCCGTTATGTCAGAAAAAATGAAAATTAAAAGAATTGAATAGGCGAAGAACTGCATAACTGTTTTTGAATTTTACAGGTGCCGGCGCAAGAAAAACTAAAGAGGGCGTCGTGTACATTGGTGAAGGTGCATGCGCTGCTCCTGGTTAGTCTTCATATTCTTTTTCTTAAGTTCAAAGACAACGCGGGAAACTGCAGTGTTCGCTTGGCATAATTTATGAATTCTATTGCCTTAGCAAGAGTGAAAGCCCGCACCGATTGCCTCAGACAGCAGTGGTGTTCATGCTGTTAAATAAGAAATATTTTTTTCCAGGGTACGCCGCTGAGAAAACGAAGGAGGGAGTCATTGGAGCCAAAGATCTCACATGTATTTTTTAGTTTTTATCAACTGATTTTTTTGATACTAATTTGTGATCACAGGTCGATTTCGAATATCCTGTCGTGTTAGAGAAAACATGCCGTAGTTTCTCCACACACTGTAGTTAGTTCCTCTACAGTTTGTATTAAAATTCAGCAAATGTAGTAAGTTAAAAAAAGCAAAAACGAACAAACGAAAAATTTCCCCTCTGTGATATCCAACAGTATAATTTTGTCTGTAAGTGTTAGAAAAAAATGCGAAAAAATTTATTTTTTATAAATTCAGTGAATGAATATTTCAAAAATTACCACTTAAAAATTCATGCGCACAATACTAACATACCATAATTAACTTATTGCACTAAACTACCGTACTTAAACTGCGCTTTAATGAAAATACGGTACCAAACCAAAATCTTCCTGTTGAAAACTGGTGAACACAGAGCACTGATGAGGGGTACTCACGAAGTGGAAGTATATGTCCACCAGAATAGCCGCTGGAGAGGAGTACTAACTAGAGGTATGCAGCCCAGGAACGAAGGTCTGACTGTGCTTGCCATCTTCGTCTCAGTAACATCACTAACATGGGATACCATGCCGACTGTGCGGAGTGTCTGAATATTCTTGATATGTATATAATTTACGATACAAATCTTACATCAAAATATACTGTTTATCTATTGCACAAAACAGAAACAAACCATAGATTTCTCTTCGAAAAGGCAGATGCTGTCACCGACCACTATTCTGATCAAATTTGCAGGCGCCGGTGCAAGAAAAACAAAGGAGGGTGTAGTGTACGTTGGCGAAGGCGCATACGCTGCTACAGGTTACAATTTTAAAAGCTTAATTTTGCATATTTCTGCAAAATTCTTTGCTCCACACACATACCCTCTTCCATTATAATTTTCATAGATTCTAATATAATGCCTTTTTTTGACCAAATCTGTCTGTTTGCTTGTTTGTCTACCGGTTTTCTTGATTGTTCGTCTGTTCGCTCCTTATGTCTGTCCCCATGGTTGCTCTTTTCAGCCACTAAGCTGTTCTGGGTCAAATGTATTCGAAAATATTCTTTTTTCGCTGATTTATTCCGGATTTTACGGTCAATTTTCGTAGTCTTCACTCGCCATGCACTCAACATCAAAGGATCAGGCACAGCTGTGCCTAGCTTGTGAAACATCCCAGTAACATTACGAATATAAGGTCATCACACCGAATTCTCCGAAAAGTTTTAGTATCCCTGACATGTAGCCTTCATTTATTAAGTTTTGTTTATACAAACATTGGTCTGATACTATCAGAAACCCTAACTCGCATGTCTTATTATAATGGTATTTGTATATGTCAGTTTACTGTTTGGTTGCTTTTTTGTCGGTAAATCAGATATTTGTGCCGTTTCATTAAAAAAACCTATTATGCTTCACAAAAATGCGGTTGCACGTTGCAGTGTTACTGAAACGATAACAACTTTTCAGGATACGCCGCCGGGAAAGCAAAAGAGGGACTGGTTGGTGCAAAGGATCTCACTGGTACTATTTTTTTTTTTCTCTGTATTAAATAATGCTCTTGTCTAAAATAGCTTCAAACACTATCGGCTACCGGAAATTATTCATTTTTCTTCATGCAAAATTTACAGTAACTTACGGTAATGAGCTCACTGCTTAAATATGATGCAACAACCATTCATATTTTTAACCACATAACTGCTTCAAGTTTAGCGCAAAAACCAATGATTGCACCAGTAAGCTTGACGCCTCTCACTATCTAATTTTTTATAAAGGGAAGGACGAGGTGGGAGGAAGAAGAAGTAAGGAGGAAGCATTTAGCAATCTTCGGTCCGTTTGTTACGGTTTACATTGATTACTTCGTCCACATTATGGGATTTAACTTAATCTACGGTCGTACTTTTCATCGCGATTAAATTCTGATAGCTTCCTAACCTAGGCATCCCGAAAAAAAGGGATTTAACAAAATCCTATCAAAGACTAAGCAGAATTCTGTCAAAAATGGGCCTCATTTTTTTCAAAGCATATTTTTCAGTTGGTGCAGTCGGAGGTGTTGCACACGGTATAAAAAAGGTAGCTGGCTGTGTGACCGGATCGCATGACGACAGTAATGATTACATTTCAAAATCCTTTCAATCCGTATTTTTATTAGTACTAGTACTTCAGACGCAATCCCGTTTCGAATACATACTGTATGGGTTGTCCGAAAAATCCTCGCATTTCGGCCAATTACTAAAGATGCCGAGACCACTGCTCTTGCGAGCGGAGCCCTCTTTTCCGCAGACGATTACAGGCCAGAACCGCTAGTCCTCGTATCCGGACGCGATGTGCTCATCACTGCATCACCGACCCACTCCGATAGCTAGAGCACATATATATTTATGTACCGCATTCCGCATATGCATTCTATCGTTTGGTTTCGCAAAACGACAGAATGAACACCTTTGCACACCTTTATCAAGCCTCCTATCTCTTCGTACATCAGCAAGGGAATCAGTGTGATATTCCGCAGTAACGGGAGGACTTCCTCAGTTATTTTTTTCTCTTTTCAGATAAAGAAAATAAAGGGGAAAAAGAAAAGGAAAAAGAGAAGGAAGCGTAGTTGCAAGACCCAGATCCTCGATAATCCCACATCTGTGCCCGTGCAATGAATTAAACTGAGTTACTGATTGTACAACTGGACATTAATAAATACTGGCTTATTTGTGTGAAATCAAATAGAATCCAGAAAACTGGCATTAAAAAAAAACAAGAGAGGTCAGATGCCTCGCCCTAATTTTAGCTGCTCATCTATATGTCCATATCAGTGCACACACACACACACGCACACACACACACTCACACACACGCGCGCACGCACGCACGCACATACACACGATTTCAACATATTTTTTTATGCGTTTTTGCTGTGCAGCGCTATAGCGCTGCTACAGCCAGCAAAAATGCCTATTGTCGAGGAGCTATCTGTGTGTGTTCGGAAATCGAGTGCATTTTGTCACTCACTTTCAACTCGGCAACCAGGAAAGCTGGGGGGCTGAAACTTCGGAT